CCCCCCCAGCAACATGCATCCTGTGTTCTGAACTCAGTCGGTCTCCGTGCCTGGAACCTCTATGCACCAGCGTCCCATGTCAATCACTCTCATTTACCAACTGTCAGCGTGCAGGGTTGTAAATAACGGATCCTCCGGAGTGGAGCAGGAGGGGCTAGACAATGGGGTGGGTGAAGGAGGGAGCAACGGGAGAAGACGGGAAGGTAGATGGGGGAGTTGTTGCGGTCATTCAGGATCAATGCAGCTTCTGGAATTGGCAGCATGCCAGACTGCTAAATTACAGGCACTGTGGCAATAAGGAGTGACCTGGGTTTTTCAGATAATTAATTTATAAACATTGGAGGCGCATGGTCCCTGGCTCGGCGAATTCTGCAGGCTTTTTATGTGAGCTGATGGGCTTGTTGTTTCACTCTCTCGTACATGCCTTTACAGTTTAAAAAATATAGATCATTTTAATGTTTGTTTCCTCTCTTCTTTTTTTAATGAGTTTGCATGTACATGAATGCCGCAAGCGGTACCCTAGGGACTGAAGTCCTGTTTATCCACAGCTCCGGCGGCAGCTATGAGAGGTTTTTTACCCCAACCTGCGCTTCCACCACAGGGTCTCAGCCCTGACTGGGAGGACTCCTTCCCCCCCGCAAAGGGTGAGAAAGAAGTTCAGTTAACATGGTCAGCGGACGTGTATTGGACACTTGTGTGGGTAACAAGAACATGCCTGGTGCCATGCAATGTTCCAGCTAATCTTTTCCATCCCTGTGTGGATTTTTTTTCCATCCACGTGCAGAATAATGCTTTTTCTATACGCACTGAGGTATACACAAATGTGCACCACCAGTGGAAACCAAAATTTAGCTGTGGACGCTCTGCTCATCAGTTGGGCAGTGTCTGAATCTCTCCTGGGTGGCCCCAGAAGCACACAGCTTACAAGAAACATTGGTGACATGCCATAGGATAGAGGGGTTATAACTCGTCATGCTGTAAGCCAAACACGAACTGCTCCCCTGGGGCCGGTTGTTCCATAACTGCCCACCGGGGGAGTTTCTTGCACTCTCTTCTGAAGTAGCTGTTAGTGTCCACTGCTGGAAGTGGGACATGGGGTGAGGCGAACCGATGCTTGGCTGATCCTCTAGCAATTCCTGTGTTCCTCATCATTAGTTTTTGTTAAAAGCAGTGGGTGGGGTGGTGGTAAGTTTCATTGTGATGTAGGAACTGAACCAAGACCCAGAATCCTCATGTTATGCAGGCTGCTTATGCATAACGTGGTAATTTAGAGTGAAAAGCCTCCCCTCCCCTCATCCACATCCTGAGTCAGGATGCTGCATTTCTGTGTGCTCCCCACTTCCACCTCTGGAAATGTAGAGGGAGGCTGGGTATTGGCTGCAGAGGCGGGGGGCGGGAAGGAGTGGTTACCAGGATATTCCCCAGGTATGAACCAGGTATGGGGGGACCTCTGGTACAGCACAGCCTGATGATACACATCTACTCCCTGGATTTTATGCTGGATCTAATACCCCAGGACCTCCATGTTAATATCAGATCCACTCACTATAGGCACTGCTGGTGTTGCTATTATTTGTATTATCACAGTGAGGTCATGGATCAGGACCTCGCTGTTGAAGGCACTGCACAATCTGTTGCTTAATCTTTGTGAATGCCTCATGCTGCCCTGAGGAGGCAACTCTGCCAAATGATCTTGAGGGGGAAGGAGAGAAAAAGAGGGAAGCCAAATGAGGAAGCTGAAAAGTGTTCAGAGATGGGAGCTGGGGAACTTTTGACTGGAGGGCACATGGCGCAGCTGCAACTTTTTGAAAGCTTTTAGGACATGTCCTTGCTGCATCCATTTTCCAGCCCCCTTGCATGGGTGTTAGGTATTTAAATAGCTGTGGTGTGTCTGAAAAAGGTTTCCAGCCTGTGAGGGAGGGGGTTGTGTGTGTGTATAGCTAGATGTGTGCTGTGTGTACATGCACAGGCACATGAACAGAGTATGTTTTCATATTTAAATCTGGAAAAATAAATCTGATTCATATATGATAACTGTCTCGTCTTCTGGCTAATGTACAAGACTGAGAATAAAGACACATGAGGATCTGTTCCTGCTCTGGTTCCCACATGCCGGGTGACCATTGGCAAGCCTGTGCCTCAATTTTACCATCAGTAAAATGGAGATAGTGTAACCGTAAGCACCTCTGTAGTATTCTTCAGCCCTGGATCTCACAGCACTTTGCAAAGGCCGGTAAGAATTATCCCTGTTTTTACAAATGGGGAAACTGAGGCACAGAGCGTCAAAGTGACTTTTCACCTAGCAGTCCAAGCGCAGTGTTATAATTATGACCGATTGGGGAAGGCAAACGGGGTAATGTGGGCAAAGCACTTGGAGAACCTCTGTGGAAGGTGCTACAGAAGTACAAAGTACGATGATGAGTTTAAGATCTACTTCAGCATACACTCTTTTCCTTTACTCAAGTACATTCATCTCTGTCGTGGCTTCCTCTGACACAGAGCAGTAGATAGTGGGTGTGAGGAGGGGGTTTCCTGTTGGTGTGTTTTCCAGTGTGTCATGCAGCCAGTAGCAGAGGTTTCTTTGCTGCGCGGGTGCAACTGTGAAGGGTGCCCCAGAATTGTGTGTAGGCAGCCGATGAGAGGCAAGCCCAGTGTGGGGGAAGGAGTACAGCTTGCAGGCGGGGAATCTCCTGATGGTTAACTCTGTGGTGGGATAGCGCTCCCGAAAGAACCTCTTGCAGGGCAGGAGGCTGTCTCATTTGTCACTAATTCACTTAGCATTCTCACTGGTTGTCCTGGGCTGCTCTGGTCCCTCTGGTGGATAAATGCGTCAAGTAGAATAATTAGTAAAATGTTGGCACTTGCACAGCAATGCCCAGTTTGGAACGCTGGACAAACATCAGCTAATTAGTGTGCAGTAATGGTCCTGCTGTGGGGAAATTATATCCCCATTTTATAGGTGGGGAAAACTGAGTCACAACGGTTACGTGCTTGTCTATATCATCAGTGGAACCAAAGCAATGGTAAGTCACACCCTCTAGTGATTTTGTTGCAAGTCAGTATGTGGATGCTTATTTGAGAATCACAGTGCCCTAAGGCTCTGGCTCAGATCCCATATAGCATTTGCTATATTCCTGTGAAACAGAGCGTTCAGATTCTGAAGTAACAGTGAACACATGCTGCCTTGCACTGAAGTAACTTGAGGTGTGAACTACAACTCCCTTAGCTATTCTGGTTTCCTTTCCTGTGTGGACAAGCCTTCAGTGACTTGGCCTAAAGCAGGAGACTGCTCTCTGGCTTAAAAGTGAGGCATAGTGAGCTAAGCTTGAGGGTGGCAGCTCAGCGGGGATGGGGGTCTTGCAGTGACCCCCATTCTGTCCTACATGAGGCAGTCTCCTCCCTACAACCGCTGTTCCCTCTATTTTTTTTCCATCCGTGTATGGAATACATTTTATGTGCACCAAGGCATGGGCGGACATGCACCACCGCTAGAAACACATTCTGCCAGCTGCAGGCACTGCTAATCAGTTGGGCGGCATTTGAATCTTCTGGATAGCAGCTCAAGTGCTCAGCTTACGGGGAACACTGCCTACAACATCCCCCACCCCCCTTACAAATGAGTGAGAATTCCCAGCTGCAAAAAGTGATTGAAGGGGGAGGGGCTGTGACTGCTTTCCCCCAAGGAAAGTTACATGAGGCTCTTTCGGTAACCCCTTCCCACTAACTAGCCCCTGGGGCACCGCCCTGTGCTGTCCAGAAAGGCTGCTCAGGCGGCTAGCACTACCCTCCCTGCTGTAACGATTGACTTATTTACTGTCTGACTCACTCTCCACCTCCCTTGAAATCTTTCCATGGAATTCCCCGCATGTGTGCCCCAAGGCTGAGCTGCGGGAGCCCTCCCAGCAGGGAGTGCGGCCTACGCACCAGCCCGAGCAAGGCAGATGTTTCTCATAGTCTGTTTGCAAGTGCCAAACCGCCGCCTCCCTTCACTCCCCCTCCCGCTCTGGGCATTGGTGAGGCTCCAGGTAGGTGAGGGGGAGAAGAAGTGTTGTGCGAGACTTAACAGGACAGCAGGGATATGCAGGCAGCATAGGCTGGGATATGAATTCTAACCAGTCAGCGCTGCTGCTGGGGAGAAAGCAGACCCGTGACTTACTGTTACCTCCAGGGTTCTGTTGTTTATATAGATGCAGCTGGGAGTTGGGGCATGATCTTCTGGGCTTGAGGCTGGGGTGGAGGTGTAACCGCAGTAACCCTGCCCTGTGTCCTCTGACAGGCTAGGAAACTGGCCTCTCCTACTGGCTGTCCTATGTGTGAGTGATCCCTTTTTATGTGGCAGGGGGAACTGGTTATATCCCAGCAGTAGCTTGTAGCCAAGATGCTCAGGCATGCTACCCCCTGCTCTGAATGGCCCTAAACCTTTGTCTGCTGGGACTGGGGAGGGCTGAATCACTCAGATTGCCTTGTGTTCATTCCTTCCAAAACATTGGGCTCTGGCCACTGCTGGAAGACCAGGTTCTGGGCTAAAAGGACCACTGCTCTGACCCGTGATGGCTATACTTTTGGGGGGAAGCGGGCTCAGCTGTAGTTCTGATCATTAGCTCACCTGTTTGGATGCTCTGGGTCCCTAACCTATGCCATAGGAAGATTTCCCTCCTCCCAGTTCAGCAACTCTTGCAGTCAGTTCCCTCCACCCCCCAGCCCTGGATCCTTTGGGCTAATTCTCCCAGGACTGCAACAGTCTGTGTGCTGGGCTGTGAAGTGTGTCTGATCTCAGCAGGGGACCTGCAGGCATGTGCTTCCAGAATCGGGGAAGGGAGCCAATTCTTGACATGCTGCAGAGGGGTCCTGTCCACAGGTGCCAACTGCAGCTTTAAATAGCCATAGGATGCCCCCATGGGCAGCTAAGGTAGCCATGGGGGGGGGTGTCAAATCCAGCAGGGGAGCTTGGCTATAGAGCTGAACTCTGGCCTTACCCCCTCCCCACTGGTGGATTAAATTGATGCACCTAGTGCTGTTCATAAACACTGGACCCTGCGGCGCTACGTCTCGACTGGCATGATTTTCCGGAAATGCTTTTAACTGAAAAGTTTTCCGTTAAAAGCATTTTCGGAAAAGCGCGTCTAGATTGGCCACGGATGCTTTTCCGCAAAAGCACTTTTTGCAGAAAAGCGTCCGTGGCCAATCTAGACACGCTTTCCCGCAAAAAAGCCCAGATCGCCATTTTCGCGATCGGGGCTTTTTTGCGGAAAACAAATCTCTGCTGTCTACACTGGCCCTTTTGCGCAAAAGTTTTTCGGAAAAAGACTTTTGCCCGAACGGGAGCAGCATAGTATTTCCGCAAAAGCCCTGACAATCTTACATGAGAGCGTCAGTGCTTTTGCGGAAATTCAAGCGGCCAGTGTAGACAGCTGGCAAGTTTTTCGGGAAAAGCAGCTGCTTTTCCGGAAAAAGTGGCCAGTCTAGACCCAGCCTGCCTGTATTTACAAGGGGGGGTGCGAGCTGCCCCGTGGCCCCCACTCCCTTAACTGAGGGTTGTCTGTGACCAGCACCAGCTCGGATTCCTGTCCCTCAGCCTTAAATTGAAGGAAAGAGGCAGCTGCCCGGATCTTTGCCCTCCGCCTCCCATTCGGGCTGCCCCACCCCAGCACGCTGGGTCTGCCAGGGTGGCCCCCAGGATCCCTGGCCCAGCTGGGGAAGGCAGGGACTGCCAGGGCAGGGCAGTTTGGCCCGCTGGGTGGTCACAAGGGCCGCAGGGAGCGGAAAGGGGCAGGCGGCAGCCCGCGGCTAGATCTGACACCCCCCTCCCCCCCGTGTGGTTTCCCTGCCGGGCCAGCGAGCGAGGAAACTTTCCCCGCGCGGGGAGGGAGGCTCAGGCCATACCGCCC